GGGGGGGCGTTTAATACAAATATTTTGGCTTCTCGGCGCACTCGGAATACACAGAGCCCCTTGTGGGAAGCGCGGAACGATCCGCACGCGGCCAGAGCGGAACGACGCGCGACGTGACCCCCGAAGTGGGTGCAAGCCGGCCAATAGAGCAACTGCGCACACGGGAAGCGGCCAATCAGAATCGGAGTTTTATGTACTATGATATAAGACTTCTGTACGGGGCCGGTAGGGCCACAACCCCATCAGGATATCATTGCTGACTGGATCCCAATTGGTGGATTTCTTTTTCACTTCCTGTCCGAGAGACACAAAAGGAAGTGAGAGGAAATCCCCTTTTAGTTGTCACCAGAGCAAGATTTCTTCTTCCGTTTGGGTGACAACTAGGGATGATTTTAGTGTTAAACCCGAACCCAGCCTGCTCTGCTGAACTGCCAAAGTGGCCCTAATTGGTACTATTTGTGAGTAACTTCTGAGGGGGCCACCAAACCTGTGGATCTTCCACCGCTGACTGCTTAGCAATGGAGGTGTGAAAGTAAAACCTTCAGTGATTGCTACATTGTGTCACCGTGCTCCGCATTACGATGGGTGTCACTCAGATACAGTCTTGGGGTGATCTGTATGTCTGTGTGCACGTTCCATCCATCTACAGGGAAGACGCCGTGGTATGTGTGGCCGCCATTCAGTTCTTACTCATCAAATACCATCAAAGGATATAAACGATATTCACTGTAAATGTAACGTTCTCCGTAGACATTGTGACACGTCGGGGGGAAGGGGGCGGAGCCGTAGGATCACTCCGCAGCTTGTGACATCCAGACTGGACTGCGGCATCTGTTGGACCTTCCATTAATCAGGACTGCGGATCGCCATCAATCATCGCCATGACTTATAGCGTGTGAGGATGATCTCATCTGATGACATCACTCCGCAGACTGAAATCCATCGTCAGCGGCGGTCAGGACGAGAGCCGCGTCTGTGTCATGAGCGGGGTGCGTGTCATGAATGCGACATGGCGAGTGCGGATCAATACCTTCAATGAACTGATAATGTTGATCAATCCAATTAATCGATACAGATGATCAATGTGTAGCAGATTTTATCATCAATACCAAATAGTTGGGATTAGGGTGGGGGAGGGGTAGAAATGAACGCCGCCGTTGGAACATGCGCCATCCTTCCGCCATGTGGATGATGCTCTCATTCGGCTAATACGCCGCGCATGGAATGTGGTGCCACCAATCGGTGCCCTGCGAATGTCTCGCACATACTGTAACTATGGTGGGTGGGATCTGATTCCTGAATCCATCCTATCTCTGCATCACCAATCAGAGTCACATAGCCAAGCCAAGGCTGGAATCTGATTAGTGGTTGTGGAAGACCTTTAAATGCTGAGACTTTTTTTACCAGGGAGGGAGAACAGGGAGGGGAGTGAAAGGGGCGTGTCCGGGAACTTCTCTCCAGCAACACAAGTCAAGGGTTCCCAGATCACCAACTGAAAGGTTGATGGAGCATTATAGGAATGTCTGCACCCTGAGCAGGAGGTCTGAACTCCTTGTATGCAAATACTATGTAAATTAGGAAGTGGAAGCCCCTCCCACCCACCAGACAGACAGAGAGCCCCGGGACTCACCATTCTATGCTGTGACATCATACTGTCCCAGTCAACGTCGGTCTGCATGCTTGTGACGAGGGTGGAGAGCTCCTCGGGGTGAGGTTTGTTGTGTAGGAGGGAGTGCAGCGGCAGGTGGGGAACGTGGTGCATTTCGTCGTTGTCATCCGTATCCCGCGAGGCCAGCTCTCCGGTCATGTCCTCCTCTCCATCAGCTCTACACGTGAACGGAGAGGTGGCCGGCTTGGACGACATCCTCCTGGAAAGGAGACAAGACAAGATGGAGTCAGAGCGGCCCGACAGGAAACCGGCGACACAAAACATCAGCAATGCTGCTAATACAGTACAGGGGTGTCAATGGGACCCGCAGGGACTGGACCCGGCAAATGAATGCCACACACACTACACTCCGGCCTTCTGGGTGACTGATCTGAAACAAGTATGCTGCCAGTGAAGTCAAAACTCCTGATCTGTGTTCTGGGTCCATGACTCAAAAAGTCCAAGAATCGCCAAAAAAAAGCCAGATCCACAGCAATTTGTGTCTCTGCCCCTCCCACAATGGTGATATTTCCCCCAGTAGTTTGTGTCTCTGCCCCTCCCACAATGGTGAGATCTCCTCCAGTAGTTTGTGTCTCTGCCCCTCCCACAATGGTGAGATCTCCTCCAGTAGTTTGTGTCTCTGCCCCTCCCACAATGGTGAGATCTCCTCCAGTAGTTTGTGTCTCTGCCCCTCCCACAATGGTGAGATCTCCTCCAGTAGTTTGTGTCTCTGCCCCTCCCACAATGGTGAGATCTCCTCCAGTAGTTTGTGTCTCTGCCCCTCCCACAATGGTGAGATCTCCTCCAGTAGTTTGTGTCTCTGCCCCTCCCACAATGGTGAGATCTCCTCCAGTAGTTTGTGTCTCTGCCCCTCCCACAATGGTGAGATCTCCTCCAGTAGTTTGTGTCTCTGCCCCTCCCACAATGGTGAGATCTCCTCCAGTAGTTTGTGTCTCTGCCCCTCCCACAATGGTGAGATCTCCTCCAGTAGTTTGTGTCTCTGCCCCTCCCACAATGGTGAGATCTCCTCCAGTAGTTTGTGTCTCTGCCCCTCCCACAATGGTGAGATCTCCTCCAGTAGTTTGTGTCTCTGCCCCTCCCACAATGGTGAGATCTCCTCCAGTAGTTTGTGTCTCTGCCCCTCCCACAATAGTGAGATCTCCTCCAGTAGATGGTGTCTCTGCCCCTCCCACAATGGTGAGCTTTCCTGGTGGGTGATCTCACTACGGGAGTCCATGAGAGATATAAGGAGCCATTATGGGACTAGACACTCCAAGACATGGGAGTAGGATGGAGTTGTCCTTTAAGCGGTCTCTTGCCCAATGAACATCACACACACACACGGCCCTCCATATCCAATCTTGGACAGCCGTGTCCATGGACTTCACCAGCAGCACATA